TGGTTGCTGCACATCTTGAAACTTAGAGCCAATGTCAGGATTTCTCTAAACATCCCCCTCTGGACTCTGAATCACCTGGTGTGATTATTAATGTGGGTTCCCAGCATCACCCTCAAACTGCTCTAGAATCTCCGGAGGGAAAGACCCAGGAATCTGCATTTTAAATGAGCCCCCAGATGATTCTTCTGCTCGCTGCAATTTTAGAAATGCTGGTGTGGAGCTCTTTAGGAAATTAACTTCTACTATGTGTGCAAATGTGAACGTTTTCTGTTTTAGTCACCAAAGCGAAACATTGATCTTAATTCTATTGATGCTTTAGGGTAAAGGTTGATTTTGCAGTGACCATGATATAGATGCAACAAGGAGGACTTGATATTTTTATATTTATCAAAAGGGAGACTGATCCACTTGAAACCCTCCATATACCTGAGTAAACAGAAATTCAGATGCTAAAAAACTTACCCAAGGTCACACATCTGTGGCAAAAAACTAACAGCCCTGACCCTGTGCTGGACCCTTTCTACAGCCCACCCCCCTCCCCTCACCCCCCAACCAACCCTGCAAAAGGCACTTGGGGGGAGCATTTGGGCTTCACTATTGAAAGACTGGAAGAGCTGGGCCTAGGGATTTTGCTCCTCCATTTGTGAGCCAATTCTCTCAGCTCTTAGATACAGACATTTGTATTTCCCCTGTTAGGTGGGACACAGTCCCTATTTCCAGGAATGCCCAGCACAAGTTCCAAGAGGTGACAAGGCAGGAAAGCACAGATTACCCTCAGGCCAGGGCTCCTCCCCAGCTGTCTCCTAGGCTGGGCTGACCCTGTTAAGGGTGCTGGATCCTTTGAAGCCAAACTGGTTTTTAAAAAATGGACTTCCTGAAGTGAGGAATAATTATTTTCATATGTGAACCTGGAAAAACGTAGGTACTGACAACAATGAACAAATGCAGGTTGAAAAACAAAATTTTCTGGCTGCCACAAAAATTCTTTCAGGATCCTCTCATATTTTCCATGCATTACCACAGCAAAAGAGTTTACAGCAAGGCGAGTTAACCAAGGCAGAAGAAATAACACTTAAAAATGTGCTAAAATACAGCACGAATCCCAAATTTGTTAACCTGTAATAACTCTAAGAGTGTTATGCTTCCCTTTTAGGTTCCTGGGAACTGTATTATGCTCTTGGAAATTAAATGGGTGCATGTGTGTGTACATGCATGTTTTACTGAGCTCAGAGATAAATATTCAATGACAGTGCCTGCACAAGTGATATGGATATCTATGATTATAAGAGTAATTTAGAATTAAAGGACAATTTAAGCCAAATGATTCTCTCAAATCTGATTTGCCTCAACTGGCTTCCTACATTGATCAAATTAACCCAATCACTGTCAGTTCTCTTTTGTATTCTGTGATGTATGGGAAGAGCCAAAAGTTATCCTATCTACATATATCCTCACAGGATGTTAACTTTTTTCCAGATGGAAAAGTTATTCATTGCTTTACGTTAGTTACTCTCATCAGATTTGGTCCTTTGGGTTCTGTCCTACTCACCCTATTGGGTATCTATATTTGTAGACAACAGGAAATAAGCTTATTTTTCTATAGTTTCCCCTGTAATGAAGAACTCTAACTAAAACTCTTCTAATAACTCTATAAGACACCATTTATGTGTATACAGTCTCTAATTCTTAAGTCACTCCTTACTTTGCATAGAACACACACACACTCAGAGAGAGAGAGAGAGAGAGAGAGAGAGAGAGAGAGAGAGAGAGAGAGAGAGAGAAAGAGAGAGAGAGAGTTCAAGATACTTCAGAGAGTCTGTGGTCAATTGCCTTAAGTTTTGTTTTCCAAGATTAAGTCACAGAGATTTTCAGGCAACCTAACATAAGTATTGTGTTATGACAGTTGCAAATAGAAATGCCCAATGAGTGAGTCAGGTGACAAAAAGGAGTGGGCTGGCCCAGGGTGAGAAAGGAGTGACTCGTGGGGGATAGGGAACCTAAAGGAAACACTGCCTAATCGAACTTTCTGTGATGATGAAAATGGTCTATACCTGTCTAATATGGCAGACACCAGCTACATGTAGCTATTCACCACTTGAAATGTGGCTACTCTAACTGAGAAACTAAAGGTTTTATTTGATTTTAATTTAAAGGGCCAAATGTGTTGGTGGCTCTCCCATGGGACAGCCCAGGAGGGAGAACCTGCTCGCTTGTCACTCCAGCCAATTGTTGCCATGCAGGGGTGCAGGCTCAGAGGTGCCAGGCCTCCTGATTTTCCTAGAGAAACTGGAAATCCCAATTTTTATGGGAACGTCTTAACATTTAAAAGACCAGTCAAAGCAAACACAGGTATGGTTCGGTTTGGGCCAATAGGCATCAGTCTGCTGATCCGAATTTCTCACCCTGTTCTCTGCTGTATACAGCTTTCCCCTGGATCCAAAAGGTGAGTGTTCTTATGAAACCTTTTGTAAGCTGAAATAGCATAAAGTGAAGAAGAAATTACCATTGATTTACATAATCTATGTGAAAAAAATTTTGAGCATTTTCTAGACCCCCCCTCCAAAATAACCTACCAAATCATACCAAATAACATATAAAGTGTAAAATAACCCTAATATACGGTAAAAGTAGGAGTTATGTGATAAATACACACCCCGCTTTGTACACCCATCAATCCACTCAAGCCACAGACTTTCCATTTTATCCATTACTGGAGAGACCACTTTGCTACTAACAGATCCTATAGTAACTTGGGTAGCTTTCAAGTTTCTTTCTCTCTGAGTGTAAATAGTATGAATGGTGGACCCAGGCAAGTTCAACACAGGCACAGTGTCTTTATTTTGTTTATCATGATCAAAATGCTTAGTTACGTCCGGTTTTATGCTAAGCCTAACACCTTATAAGCTCTCTTAGGCTTTTCTGATACTTTAGGACACGCCTTGCTACGGGATGCACAAAATAAACGGAGAAGCAGCACAGGGGCTCACACACACGGTTCAGTGCTATGGGGCTTGAGGCCGAGATGCCGAGTGTGGTTCCCGGGAAGGAGCCTGGTGGGGCCACTCTCACTGCTGCCAGTACTGCTGCCTCTAGAGGGGCTACTGCCAAACAAGTGCTGAACGCTATTTTCCCTTTGTGCCTTTTTTGGTAAAAGTGAAAATTCTCTTCAGATTTTGTTGTTGTTGTTCGGTTGGCAAAAACAGGGGCTAATGTAGGTATTTCGTAACAGCGAAGTGGCATACTGTGAGCTTTCAGAAAGTGGGGCATGTACCTGTTCCTTCACTCTTACCAGGAGAACATTTTCATGATTTACATTCATCAGCCTCTTGCAACTTGGGGCTTGTCCTCCAAGCCCATGAATTTGGAACAAGTCCCGCTTCACATCTCCTTAGACGCTGACCTCTCTCTTGAGAATCCTTCTTTGACTTCACCTCAGAAATGCACTCCCACTGACAAGAACAGTAGAGCCACTTGGGCAGGCCAAATGGCTCAGTGGTTAAGATCATGAGCTCTGAGAGACAGGGTTGCCAGTTCGATTCCCACATGGGCCAGTGAGCTGCATCAGAGCTGAGGGGCCAACAGGAGGCAGGGTGGCTCAGCTGGTGAGAGCATGTGCTCCTAACAACAAGGTTGCCACCCACCCACAACGAAGATTGAACATGGCACCTTGAGCTTAGCTGCCACGAGCTGCTGATGGGCGGCCGGATGGTGACTGGACTTGCAGCTGAGCTAGCTGCGCCCTCCACAACTAAAATTGAAGCACAACTTGACTGCTCCCCTTCCCCAATTCCCCAACACTGTTCCCCTTTCCCAATAAGATCTTTAAAAAAACAGAAAGAGTAGAGCCACTTACTCCTATTACAACGAATCCCTCTTAATACTCCCTATAGAATCATCTGTATAAAGCTCCCCTCACATTGTTAGAACGTTAAAAATTGTCATTGGGCTTGTAGTTTACATTCTCAGAAAATGCTGCGGTTGGTTCTATTCTGTAGACCAGAGTTTTTCAAACTTTTTTTTGGAACGGAATACATAGTAAAGAAGTATAGTTTACAGGGCAACTTAGTCTACATATTCTGTATACACACAGACGTTTGGTAAAGTGTCACAGAACACTGTAAGTCCTTACTCTGTGTCATGTATTCTCATGTTTTCTATTCTCCTCCACCTTTTTATTTTTCTATTTCTTTCAACACTGATATCAGAGACCATGGAGGAGTCCCAGTCCTGAGTTTGAAACCATTGCTATAGCAACTCCAGCTCATGTCTATAACTCAGAAATATTTATCGACTGATCTAAACGCTTTCACTCATTCCCTCTGAGTCCTCAGCCTTCCCCTGTCTACCCAGTAGGCACACACTATTAGTAGGAGTAAACCAGAGACCAGCACAAGTGGAATTATGCTCTAATACTCTAGAGTCTTTGTAGTCTCCACTTAAAGAACCTCATTAAACTCAGATTGTTCTTCATGGGAAGTGATTTATATTTTAAAAAAAATAAAAAAGAAGATCAAAAGACTATTTTCCCTGCGCAGTATATGACTTCCTGCAATTCATCAAAATTCTTTTCATAGGTAAAGGTCACCTTTCATTTATGTATGGCATCTGTGTGTGTTTTGTTGAAAAGGGTGTGGCTCCCAGAACATAAATTAGGCCTCACATGTTGAAAAAACTCATGAAAAGTTACCAGAGGTAGGTGATGGGAGTAAAGTGATAAAAAGAGACACAAATGCTATCAGAATTCCCAGGAGGATGACCACAGCCCACCTGACTTGGCCTAAAACGGGGAAAGAGGCTACTAAAAGGCCTGAGCAGGAGTATAGAACTGTGTATTTGCTATAAGTTGTAATACTTTTTATAAAGTACTTTTGGGGGAAAAGCACTTGGGTTTAATGTAAACAGAGACAAAATTGGTGTTAGTCCCAGGAACATTGAACTGACTCATCAGACACATTTTAAAGCAAGAAACCCATGCCTTTTTTCTTTTTTTTCAAATGTAGTGGTCAGCAGCTTGGATACAGGACCTGATTGGATTTGAATCTTGACCCTCCTGCTTACCGGAGGTGTGACTTTATGCAAGTGACTCACTATCTCCTCAACTACAAAATATGAAGACTCCTAGCACCATCCTCATAAGGTTGTCTGTGGGGTTGAATTAATTAATATTTGGAGAGCACCGAGCACAAATGCCTTATAGGTGGTAAGTACAATATCAGTACTTGTTAAATACATGGTCTAAGAGAAGATTAACACATACCAAGTCTCTGTCCTCTAACTTCACGGCAGGGGAAACAGAAATGAATTTAAAAAGATAAGATTGAAGAAGTGCTGTAACGTGCTGTCTTGTTTGCTCATCTCTGCACAGATGTGACACCCAAGGTGACAAAGCTTAAATGCCATTCTCTATGAAAAATAACGAGCCATTTAGAAGGAAGAGGAGGAGGAGGAGGAGGAGGAGAAAGGAACAATATCTTCGTCTTTAAGCCAAGGTGGAAAAGTGAACAGTGTGAAAAACATATAGCAGAGCCATTCATGAGACCACCCAGTGTCATCCGAGGAAGAAAGAGCTGAGTAAGCTAAAAACCAAACCCTGGGGAATAGCAACATAGCAAACACACTTTGGGGAGGACAATTAACAGCCACATGAGCAAAATTGGTTTAAGAAAAAAATTCTCTGGGGAAAGCTTATAGAAATGAATGATTATTTGTGCAAAAGTCAACTGAAAGAGGTGAAACTAAAAACCACGAGAGGGGGCCCTCTAAGTGTAATCCCAGTTAATGGTCTAGGGAGCAGTGAAATACGTCTCATTGTGAGGTGTGCTCTTTTAAAAAACAAAAATAGAAATGAAAGCGGAATCTTATTATTGAAAAACACCCTGCAATGCTTTGTTCTTGGTTTCCTAGAAATTGAATATGGAAGCATTATGTGGGTTTATATGTATACGTATGTGTGTGTGCATTTACCCACACAATTCTTCCATATTTGAATATATCTATCTATCTATCTATATATATATATATAGAGAGAGAGAGAGAGAGAGAGAGAGAGAGAGTTTTAAGAAAATGTCTCCCTTTTTACATTTCTTTATGAAGTGACATTAAGAGGTGAAAAGCAACTGGCTATAGGCATTAAACTAAACAATAATCCACACCGTAAAAAACATAGAAATTATGTACAAATTTAGGCATGGGACATATTCCCCTTAAGGTTTAAACGATTGCAAAAATGGCCTGACACTGCAATGGAGGCCTCTAAGCTTGGGCAGTGAACATCATGGGTCATAGGGAGCCACTTCGATGTCAACAGCAGCTTTGTGTAAAAGGGACAGGGAGAACGCAGCCTCTGACCACATGGGAGCCCCTTAATTTCTCAGGCTGCATTCTGCCATTGTCCCACATGGGCATCTCCCACTGACCATGGCAAGCAGTGTGATGCTGGGATTGATGGCCACAGGTGGCCTCCCACCTGTAAGGCCTGCTCTGTACTCAGCATCAGTTATGGAAAGAAAGGAAATTTAACTTTAGGCCCTCTACTGGCTTTGCTTTTTATCTCTCTTCCTCTCCTATCTTTCCTTCTGAATCCCAGATCTATTCCTTCCCTTCCTTCCTCCCTCCCTCCCTCCCTCCCTCACTCCCTTCCTTCCTTCCTTCCTTTCTCTTTTCTGTGAACATTTCTTTTCATTTTTGCAGTCTCTCTCTCTCTTTTTTTTTAAGATTTTATTGGGGAATTGGGAGAGGGGAACGGTGTTGGGGAATTGGGGGAGGGAAACAGACAAGTTGCTGTCCTTTTGTTCTTCAGTCTAGTTATGGAGGACGTCGCTTCACTGGCCCA